CCACAGTTTGAGAGAATCAATTCCTGTTATTTTAAGCCCCTCCGTTTGTGGTACTTTGTTGTGTCAGCCGCAAGATACTGAAACCTTTGTTTCAGTTAGGCCTGTGTTTCCCAGAAGACTGTGGAGACCCCCAGATCGCTGTGTTTGCTGCTCACTGGGTTTGGTTCTCCTGAGGCCTACTGTTGAGCTGGCCCTCAGGAGCTGTACCCAGTGAATTATGACACAGGAACAGGTCCCCAGGAAAGAGGGCCTTTCCTGGAGCCAGAGAGAACATCCACTCCTAGGGAGCTGAAGGAAGTCAAGTATGTGGGGGGCCCTTCCTGGAGGGACCACAGCAGACCTCCGGCCTGGCTTGTCCTTCCTCTGTATACTCGCTGACATGAGTGGTCACAGGGCAATTGTTACAGGACCTCTGGTCTGAATCACTTTTGTCACTCAATGATTCATTCAACAAACACTCAGAGTCAGTTCTGGGCCAGGTGCAGCTCTGGGCACTGGTGATGCAAAGATGGTGGGCGATCTCAAGGAAACTCTGTTGCTCTGAAGGGGTGGGGTACCTTCTGGAGTGTTTCCAAAGTTGTCTCTCCTCCCCTCATGACAAAGAGGGAAGATGCCTGACTGAATACATCACAGAGCTCCAGCCTTCCTCCCCCACCTCATCTTGGACAAGTGTGGAAACAGCAGACTGTGAAAATGTTCTCAGGTCTGTGGGACAGAACAGGAGTACATGTACTTTAAGGACTAGATTTTAATAGAAAGTATAGGTGCTTGTTTGTGTTGTGCTATTTTAAGATGGAAAGTTGGTGCACTGAAATTTTGAGACTGATGATGACAGATTTCAGGAACTTGAAGTTATATTACAATCAAATGACACTCCACCTCTCTACCTCCAGGGAAGGAAAATTAAGACAAAACTAAACAGCTCACAAGTTCCTACCCTTCTTAGAGGAAAAGCCCACCAAAAGTTCTCCCTGTAGCCTACCAGGCCGTTTACCATTTGCTCCATCACCCCTACCTATCCTCACCTCCTCCCATCTTCCCTCTTCCCATCTTCCCTCACTCACTCTGCTCTGGCCTCACTGAGCTCCTGGCTGTTCCTTAAACTACTCAGGGCCTTTGCACAGGCTGTTCCCTCTGGAATACTCTTCGTTCACTATCCAGCTGGCTTCCTCCTTACCTCCAAGTCTTTGCTCAAATGTCACCGTCTCAGTGAAGCATTTACTGAGCTTGTTACTTAAAATTGAACTCAACACTCTCGACCCGCTTGTTTTATATTTCTCCATCATTATCTAGTGTATTAGATGCTTTATTCATTTATTCTTATTTTCTTTTTCCCCCACCCCACTTGACTGTCAGCTCTGCAAGGGCAGGCATTTTGTCCAGTTTTGTTCACTGCTGTGTCCCCAGCATCAAGAACAGGGCTGGGCACACAGTAGGTATTCAGTAAATGTTTATTGAATGGACAAGTGCTTATGATATGTCAGGCACCATGCTGTGTGCGTCTATAATTAGTAACTAATAAGTAATATTCAAGGAGACCTGGGGCAGGTATTCTGCTGAGTGCATTAGTGTAAAGTCCTCCTCAGGGGTTAGCTGTCTGAGTTTTCACTCTGGGGCAGTGAGAAGGGGTGGCTGCTATAATTAGTCCTGTTTCACATGGGAGGAAACTGAGGCTCTTAGACATTTTGTGATTTGCTTAGGGGGATGTAGTGAGCAGAACTTGAACTCAGCACAGCCACCCTACAGAAGCCAAGATCTTAAAACCATGTTCTTTTGCCTCCTGATACATTGCCTCTCCCAGTTTTCACAACACCCCTATGAAAACTGTACCTTTATTTGACCCTGGTTTTCAAAGGAGGGCATTGAGACTCAGAGAAGTGAAGTCACTTGCTCAAGGACAAACAGCAGCAGTGGCAGATCCAGGATTCAGAGCCAGGGCAGCTCAGCCCCACAGCCCACTGTTCTGCTGCCTCTGTTGAGTGAGCAGGTTGTCACAAGAGAGCGGGGGAGTGAGCCTGCTTTACGTAAGAGTGTCCTTGGGCTGGGCAGGGTCCAGGGCTCAACCTGAGGGTCTCAGCAGCTCGCCTGGGGATTTGGTTTTAGAAGCTGACCTGAAAGACCTGGGACACCTGGTCTTTGGGATTAAGGGCTGTGGGCCAAGAGAGCTTCATGTAAGGGTGTAGTGATGCTGATAACTGACACACAGTGCTGGTTCATGCCAGGCCCTCGGGTGTGGGTATCTGTATCTGGAAGTCCTTGCAACCCTAGAAGAGGTTCTATGGTAGTCCCCGCTTATCTGTGGGAAATAACAGTTCAAGACCCCTAGAGGATGCCTGAAACCACAGATGGTATGGAACCCTATATATACTATGTTTTTCTATACATACCTATGATGAAGTTTAATTTATAAATTAGCACAGAGATTAACAATAAAATAGAACAATTATAATACACTGTAATAAAAGTTATGTGAATGTGGTCTCTCTTATTGAGAACTTTCACCATTTCACTTAAAAGAATGTTACATCTTCTCTTTGGCATATATGAATTGCCAGCATCACTACTCTTGTGCTTTGGGGCCATTGTTAAGTAAAATAAGTGTTACTTGAACACAAGCACTCTGATACCACCAGAGTTAATCTGATCACAGAGACTGCTACTAAGTAACAGTGGGGGTGGGGGTGGGGGTTGGGGTTGGGGATGGAACATGGGGCTAGGGAGCATATACAGTGTGGATAAGCTGGACAAAAGCAATGATTCATGCCCCAGGCAGGTAGGATGGAGGGAGACTTCATCAAGCTACTCAGAATAGCATACAATTTAAAACATGAATTATTTCTAGAAATTTCTATTTAATGTTGGACAGCGGTTGACTGGGGTTAACTGAAACCATGGAAAGCGAAACCTTGGATAAAGGGGTACCTACTGTATCATTATGCCCATTATGCAGTTGAAGAAACTGAGGCACAGAGAGGTTAAGTCACTTGCCCAAGGTCATAAAGCCAGAAAGTGGTTTAACTGTGACTCAAGCCTGGAAGCGGGAACAATGGTTAGGGGAGAGAAACGGGCCACCATGGACTTGGATCTTCATCACACCTACCTGGGTAGGCGTGGCAGAATAAAGGTGTATAGTAACAGGAATGAGGAAGCTTTTTAATTCTACAATATATAATGTGGGGGGGAAATGCGGAGCATACAGTATGTACCATTTGTGTTAACAGAAAATCGCATTTGTGCATCTCAGGAAAGGCACAGGAGGCAGTGGCACATTCGCTGTGGGTGGATTGAATAGCAGAGTGGGGATTCTCACTCTATGTGCCCTTGCAAGTTTGGTACTGCGATTACACAGCCAACAATTTTAACTGAAAATTTAGAAATTATACTTGTGCTTATATAAGCACTCTCTGAGGATGCACAAAAAATGTTGAAAAAAATAAAGGAAATCTCTGATGCCGTGGCCTGTCTATATTGGCACAGCGGGAAAGACCTGCAGGCCCAGAGGTGGGTGGCCACTTGACTTATCACAGGCCAGATGTACATTTTGACTTTTGTACTGTGTTTAAATCCCGTAAAAATGTGACACTGCTGGTGCAATGGATTAAGATGAGATGGGTCAGAGGCGGCCCTGCATGTACTGACATGAAAGGAACTCCGAAGCATGCTCAGAGGCAGTGTAGGGAAGGAATCCAACAAGGGGCAGCCCAGGAAGGAATGGTCTGCTAGTGGACCCACCAAACAACTCTGGACACAATCAGATCCACTGTGGGTAAAAAATATGCATTTGAGAGGCAGGCTTTCTGTCCACTTGTCTTTTTCACCATGGCCACTTTCCTGAATAATCACACTACCCCTCACACCCTCAGTAGGTTGTTTCTCTAAGTTCCCATTACTGTGCCTTCATTCAGGCTTTGGGTACCTTTGTGCCCATGGCACTTGGACATGAAGTTCACAGGGACCTGTTACATAATGGAGACTGGGGCAAAGGGATGGCAGCCCTGGGGATCTGTGACCCCAACTGAAGCCAGGGCCAATTCTGCAGTAAAGGCCATCTTGATGCCCGAGAGGTAGTTCAGCAGACATTTCTTGTAATGAGGTCGGTCTCTTTTGGCTTCCATATATGAAGTCACATGCCAAACAGGATGGTTAATGCGGCTGCTCTTCTAATAGACCAGTGTATTAAGATTTGAGTGACAACCCCTCTAGTTCTGTGCTGTCCAATACTTGCTACTAGTCACGTGTGGCTGCTGAGGACTTGAAATGTGGCTGAAATGACTGAGAAATTGAATTTTTAATTTTATTTAATCTTAATTTCCATTTAAAGAAAACATTCCCTTCACTACAGGAAGTTCTCTTGGACAGTGTTCCCCTCTAGACTGTTTTCAGTGGTTAAACTGTTTCAAGTGGGAAGGGAAAGCCACTCCTAGGTTGACTTAAATATGGTGTTTTTACTCCAAGACCTTTTGTAGCAAAGTAGCAATGCATTGCTTACAGCATGTATACTTACTTACTTTATAATAAAACCAGCTCCTTAAAAAAAGTTACAAAGTAAAGCAGCTTCAGTGGCCTGCAAATGAAGCCAGTGCAGGAAATGGTCTTCTCCAGGGTGGGGCTGCCACCAGAACTGGGCTGGAATCATAGTCTGGCTTGGCCAGGGCCTGCCTGACAGTCAGCCTGTTCCAGCAAGAAAGGAGTGGAGAGGGATTAAGAGGGCAGACCATGCACTGCTCCTGGGCTCCTGCCACCAGGTCCTGGAAGACTGGAAGGGGAAATGCTTAACTCTGGTCCTAACCTTCACAAAAACCAAAACCAAAACCAAGCTCTGAATGTATTGGGGTCTCCAAAAGCCCAGGTGGATTGACATTCCCCACCCCACACTGAGCAAAGGAGGGGAAGAGTTCTCTCTCTTGCCGAGGACTCCTGTCCTGGTTGCCTTTGGTGGGATGCCCGCTCCCCACCCCATTCAGCAGAACCCCTCAAACAGAGTCGCAGGACCTCTCTCCTGAGGTTTAGCATCAGTCTTTAATGCTGTCATGCTGCACAATGACAAGTCACACGCTTTGGTCTTGTGTTGGCAGTGGCAACTTACAATGAGTCTAAAAGTCTGAGCACCAGACTGGCCTGCAGAGAACAGACACTCGTTCCAACCCTCCCACTCCCAAGGTTCCTTCTGAATTCCATCATGGGCCTGTACAGAGAGCAGCAGCTGCCGTGGACTGCTTTCTTTGAGTGCACACCAACTTTACACAGAATTATAAAAACATATTTACAGACGTTCCACAGTGCTCCTGTAATCAGGAGTAAAGACCCTTTTATCAAAAGGGATTATATCTAGGGCTGTGCAAAATTCAAAAGGATCAGATCCCTTTGAAAGAGTCCAGAGTCCATTAAACAAAAAAATGATCTGGGCCACTGGGAGGTCCCAGTGTGCCAAAGATTACCTTACAGGAAAAGAAAGAGTGACCCATAAGTGAGCGTACTCGGCCCCCGGAGCCAGAGGTTGAGAGGGCCCCTGACCCCCAAGGGAGAGATGGCTGCACAAGTCACTCTCACTTACTAAGGCTAGCTTCCTTGGTCCTGCTGGAAACGAGAGAGGTATTGCTTGCGGGCGCCAGACAGGCAGTTCTGCAAAAATAGTCTAGGTTCTCAATTTGAGATGGCAAAAGACGGGATTCTTCAGAGGAAGAGCAAAATATGGGAGACAAATACAGAATAAAACATGAACTGGTCATACAACAGAAACTGGAGAGCATACAGGGTCTGGTAACCAAGATAGCAGATTGACATTTCCTAACGGCAACAAGCAAAGGGATGACAGAGGGCTCAAATCCAGTTGCGGGGCTGCCTCTTGGTCCTGAGCAGGGCCTTGAGGAGGAGGGCTGGGCTCGTTCCAGGAGAGCTGCAGGATCTGTGGCACAGACTGGAATGCCTTCTGCTGTTCCCACCACTTGCTGCCCTATCACTCAAAAAACCACTGAAGTCTAGTTCACGACTTTGAAAGATTGTAATATATTCTCTGGGAAACATTCAGCAGTACGAAAGCCCTCCCTGGGCCCTCCCGCCTTCTCATGGGTCCACTACTGGTGGAACGGTCCAGAAATCCTTGAGCTCTGGAAAGGTCCCTGGTCAGTCCTTGGGGAACAGAGGTGGCTATATCGGAAGGGCCTGTTCAAGTTTGGTTCTTGATGCCTGGGGAATCCTTTCAGGGAAGATCACTTCAAATTCAATAATGAGGTCCCCACGTTTCTCGGGCGTTTTGGGGAGGGGGAGGCCTTCTCCAGGAACTTTTCGCCTCATGCCTGGCCTGATGACATCTTTGAACACGACGGGTATGGTCCTGCCATCCAGAGTGGGGACGTTCACAGTACAGCCACACAGAGCCTTGGAAAGCAAAGTGACAGTTAGATGGACGTTACCTTAGAAAGCTCCACTCCTGCCCAGAGGCTTTTTGGGGTAGGGTAAGAGCCATCAGACCTCTGCAGCTAGACCCTGCCCTCCAGATTTACCCAGGTCACCAGCACGGAAGCTCCTAAAAAACAGAGCCCTGGTCAGCTTTGCTCCTGCTGCACACCCCCCAGTCTGGAGGCAGCAAGTGCTCAGATATAGCTGTTAAAAAATACCAAAGTGGGGCCAGCCGAGTGGTGCGATGGTTAAGAACTGGCTTGGCATGCCAGAGGGCCCCGGTTCGGATCCCACATATGAGGGCCAATGACACTGCCCTCCACAGCTAAGATGCTGAACAACAGCTCAACCTGGAGCTGGGCTGCCGTGAGTCGCCAGCGACGGCGTAGGCTGCAGCCCCTGTGGCGGTGGGTTGCCATGGGCTACGGTGTGTAGCCAGCAGCCAGTGTGAGCAGCCAGCAGCCGCAGTGAGCGGCTGTCCAGAGGCCGGCGACTGATCTGCTTCACCCGGGAAGAGCGCAATGATGGTGCCAACTTGGGCCAGTGAAGCAACGTCCTCCACAACTAGACTGAAGAACAAAACGACAGCAACTTGTCTGTTCCCCTTCCCCCAATTCCCCAATAAAAATCTTAAAAAAAAAAAAAATACCAAAGTGCTTCAAAAACCAGCTATCTCCCCCCACAGATACTGCCCCGCCTAGTGCCTTACCTCCCGAAGGGTGATCCTGGCTGGGTAAATGACATCAGAGCCATCTCTCTTAAAGATATTGTGTGGCTTGTCCTTTAAAACAAAGACGATGTCAGCTGGAATGTTGTTGGAGGTCTGGTCTCCCTCCTTGGGGAAGGTGATTTTGGTCCCTTCTTTCCAACCCCGTTTTACTTCAATGGTCAGAATTTTATCTTCATTGCGAATGCTCTTCCCGTCTGGGTTCAGCCGTTTATGGGAGATCTTCATCTTCTTGGTGCAGCCGCTGTAGATCTCTTCAAGGGAAACCCTAAGGTCATGGGTGACAGGGGGGTCTTGCTTTTTCCGGGTGAGCTCTTGCACAGGGCGAGACCGGCCAAAGTTCATGTTTGTAAAGCCGCCCATGCCCATGGGGAAGCCAGTAAACGGGTCATCAACGTCCATGCCTTCCTCCCCGTTCCGCTGCCCAAAAAAGGTGTCAAAGGGATTTCGGCCACCGAAGATCTCAGCAAACATGGCATGAGGGTCTCCATGGAATGTGTAGCTGAAGGAGGTACCATTAGCACCACCGCTGCTCCCACCACTGGGGCCACTGCCCTTTAGGCCTGAAAAGCAAAATTCCAAGAAGTCAGGTGGCTGCCCAGAGGCTTTCCTTAAGAGAAAAATGCTAAGGAACACTGGACGAGAAATTTTTTTTTTTAGCCTGTCAGTAAAAGACAAAGAAAAACCTGACCTTTTACCCCCCCACCCGCCCCACTGTAACAACAGAGGCAGATTCCCCATCCAGGTAATTCCGTGTGGCACAGCAGAGATGAGGGAGCTCAAGCTCTGAGATGGCTTTTTCTAGGGGCCACACACATCCGGCCACTTCTTCCCTGACCCACCCTCCCGACAATGATACAAGACTTACAAGGAATTCACTACGACATCAGATGAAAAAAGCACATCCAGAGTCAGCTTTCAGGGAAGTGTTTACTCCTAAATACTTTAGGGTTGGCGATGTGTAGGGAGACTAAAAAATGTTGGTAAAACAACGCAAGGAGATTTTCAAATTCTCAAACCCTGGTACCTTTGCCATTATCCTCATATAAAAAGTCACTTCGTTTGTTAACACCAAGCCCAGAAACCAGCCTGAGTCATCCACGGGCAACTGGACAAAAAAGAAAGCGGCTTTCTCCTTCCCTGAGGAGAGCTACCCCAGGAGGCTGGGCAGAGGCGGTCCCCTCCATTCCCTGCACCTGGACCGCCACTGTGGGCGCAGGCTGCCATTTACGTGCCTGGCGCGGTGCTGGATAAGCACTTTACAAGAATTAGTTCACTCCGCCCTCCCAGGGGCCCCAGAGGGAGATGGGGGCAAACTGGCGCTCCCCTTTGCAGGCTCACTGCCCGCAGGTGGTCCCGGCGTTCAGCCAGAGGCCCGATTTGGCATCCCTGGGTGGAGGGGCCCAGCACCTCTCCCAGGTGAGCTGGGGCCAGGGGTACGTAGCACCACAAGCAAAAAAAGCCTCCGTCCCCTTCTCGATCCGCACCCGGGGGCGATCGGGGACGTGGGCGGAAACACCCAGGGAGGGGCAGCCCCAGACATGCTAGAAGCTTCTGCGCGAGCGGCGCGGCCAGAGCTCCTCCTCCCATCCGGCGGTTGCCAATCCGAGGGCGGAGGTCCGCATGACCAAAGGGCAGGGGCTATTCGCCACCTGGACCAACCCCCGCCCCTGGGATGCTGCAGCCGTGCCGCCGGCCTCGGTTTCTCCTCCTGTCAAACGGCGGGGGCGCGCCCCCGGCCGCACGCACGCGCGCGCACGCACCTTCCTCCCCGTAGCGGTCGAAGATCTCGCGCTTGCGCGGGTCGCTGAGCACATCGTAGGCCTCGGCGATCTCCTTGAACTTCTCCTCGGCGCCGGGCTCCTTGTTCTTGTCTGGGTGGTAGCGCAGCGCCTGGCGGCGGTAGGCCCGCTTGATCTCCTCGTCTGACGCGCCGCGGGCTAGGCCCAGCGTCTGGTAATAGTCTTTGCCCATGGCCCACGCCCACGGCCCGCCGCCCAGCTATCGCCGTACCCCAGCTCAGCCGCCGCCCCGTCCCGGACTCTATATACCCGTCCGGCGGAAGCTTCCAGAGCCCGCCAGCCCCCTCCAGAACCTTCCGCCCCGCCCCCTACACCGCGCCGGCCAATTGTCGCCGCCAAGCCCGCGACGCGCGACGTCCGGGAGGTGGGCCGTGCCGCCAACGGCTGTTCGCGTGTGACCACGCCCCTTTCCGCTCAGTCCTCGGCAACGCCTCCCCACGGCGCGCGCACCGCACGTCGGATACCCCGCCTCCGCGGGGAGCCAATGGCGACCGGGTCACTGTCCTGGATGACCCGGATGATCTGTTGCGCGCCTCGTCCCCTGGCTGGGTCAATAGGTTTCGACGCGCGGCTCCGAAAGGGCTGCCCTGCCCCTTTTCCGGAGGAGGTGAACCTACCCGCTCGTATCTCACAGGGTCGGGTCCCGGCCGGGGACTTTGGGCAAGTGGGTTAACATTTTTCTGCCCCAGATCCCCCTTCTGGGAATAAAAATACCCACCCGCCTTCTTCTCCCGGCAGTGGGGAGAGTGCAATTGGGAGCCTCTGGACTGTCCCTGTTTTCATCAGACAGGTCCCTCTATAAAGCGAGCTGAGGACCTGGGACCAAAGCTCATCTCCCTGAAAGGCCTTCCCAGTCCCACTCCTCAGGCCTTTCACTTTACAGTTTTCTCAAGAACACCTGCCACTAAAATCTAAAATTATCTTGTTTCATGGTTTTCATACTAAATGTCACCTGCCCCCCGGCCTGTGATCCCCATCTCTAGTACTTGGAACAGTGTCTGGCACACAGTCGCAGTATTTCTTGCTGTTTTGAATGCACCTGCTTCTTTTTCTCCATTACTTTTATGAATTTGGGGGACATGGGTGGGTCCTACACCTCTAAGGCCTCTGTTTCCTCTTTTGTGGGCAACGTGATTCCTTTTGGCTCTAAGAGTCTGAGACTCCTGTGGTCAAGGACAGGGCTAATAGGGAAAGGAGGCTCAGAAAGGGGTACCACCTGGGAAGGGTATAGGGAAGAGGGATAGGCAGTGGTGGCCGCTGAGGCGGGTCGTTCCTGGAAGTACTTCTTGGGAGGTCAGGGCTGTGTAACACTGGCTCTGGAGCTAGACAGTCTGGCTTTGTTCTGGTTCCAGCACTTCCTGGCAGTGACCTTGGGCTGATTACTGAGCCATTCTGGGCCTCAGCTTCCTCATCTGTACAATGTGGGTGGTGGTTGTACCCACCTCATAGGGCTTTGAAGTTGATATAAATCAACATTTGTAAAGCGCCTGGGATAGGCCGGGCACAGAGGAAATGCTCTCAGAAGGGTGGACTAACCCTCTTGTTGAATGGGGGGCTGCTGAATTACCTGGCAGAATCACAGGCAGAAGTTCAGTGACTGCTGCCCTTGTGTAGGCTGGGACTCCTGAGAAAGACAACCAAGGCCTTCCTTGCAGTCCAGTAGAAGGATTCCGGCCCTCCGTGGCCACTCACTGACCCTAGGGTAACCACTGACCTTAGGATACACACTGGCCAACCTGGGAGGATGGGTCTGGGCTGGGTGTCCACAGGCACAGCATAGCCGGGGTCCTGAACCAAATGGAGCAGGGAGAGAGTTTGATTTTAAAAAGTTACATACATAGACAGTGGGAGAATCGTCATGAAGAAAAACTCAGTTTGTGGACTTCCTCACACTTATATGCTAGTATTTATAGGATAAACTTAATTTAGAGTTAACAAACGTGATGGCCTCCAAAGATCCCTCCCATTTCCTTGAATAAACCTGGCTCATGTTCAGGAAGTTTACATTGTTTAACCACCCTTTCCCCCCCTCCGCTCCCCCCCAAAAATCTCCAACACTTCTTTAAGATTCTTTGACCTGGACACTCACTGGGCACTTCAGAATGTTACTGTTAAAGTGGCCTCCGCTCCCAGAAACCCCAGCAGAGCTTCAGCTCTCAACCCAGAGAAGATGTGATGGTTAGTTTTATGCATCAACGTGGCAGGGCTATAGTACCCAGTTATTCAATTAAACACTAATCAAAGTGTTGCTGTAAAGGTATTCTGTAGATGTGGTTTGGTTAACATCTCCAATTAGTTGAATTTAAGTACAGGGGAAGACTCTGGATAACATGGGTGGGCCTCATCCAATCAGTTGCAAGGCTTTAAAAGCAAACATTGATAGGCCTTAAAAGCAAATGCTGAGGTTTCCCTGAAGAAGAAGCATGCGCTCCTGGCTAAGAGTTTGCAGCCTGCTGGTCTGCCCTATAGATTTCAGACTTGCCTCGCCAGCCCCTACAATCGTGTAGGCCAATGCCTTGAAATAAATCTCTTAATACACACACACACACACACACACACACACACACTCACAAACACATGCAGCCTACTGGTTCTGTTTCTTTAGTAGACCCCTTACTGATAACAGGAACTAAGCAGGTGAGTCTGGAGTCAGTCAGCCTCGGTTGAAATCCTGGATCCACTATTATTTACTGCCTGTGAGATCTTGCACAACTTGCTCCATCTCTTGGAGCATTAGGTGTGTCCTTCATAAAATGGGGATAAGAGTAGATCTTACCTGCCAGGGTTGCTATGTGGATACAATTGAGGGACCAGGAAACGAACATTATAATAACAGTTAACATGGACATGGCTCTACCATGTGTCAAGCTGTTTCCAAGTACTCAGTGTGTATTAACTCATTTAATCCTCACAATAATCCTAGGAAATTGGCCTAGTATGACCTCCATTTTACAGGTGGAGAAACTGAAGCTCTGAGAGGTCACGTGACTTGCCTGAGGCCACCCAGGGACTAAAGTGCTGAAGTGTGAAGTGCTTAGCACACTGAGTGCTTCTGGTAAGCATTCAGCTTGTGTAAGATGTGATTCAGATGATGATAAAGCCTTAATGAAAAAAAATGCATCTCCACTCTTTTTAACTTTTCTTATAATTAAAAAGACCTTCAAAATCATACAGCCATATGAGCCAGCAATCCCAATCCTAGTAGAATGAATACCCATGTGAAATGAAAATCCATGTTCACATAAAACCCATGAGCCAATGTTTATCAAGGTTTTATTCATAATTACTGACAGCCATTAAAACCTAAATGTCCTTCAGTAGGTGAATGGATAAACAAATGTGATCTAGCCACACAAAGGAATATTATTCAGCCATAAAAAGGAACAAGCTACTGATACAGGAAACAATGCAGACAAACCTCAAATACATTGTTAGTGAAGGAAACCAGACTCTAAAGACTATATACTGTGTGATGCCATATTATAGGACCATCTGGAAAAGGCAAAAGTATTGGGGCAGAAAGCAAATCAGTGGTTTCCAAGGGCTAGGATCTACTACAGAGAGGTATGGGGGAAATTTTTGTAATGATAGAAATGTCTTCTATCTTGACTGGTGGTGGTTACACCACTGTCTGTATTCAGAACTAGATACTGAAAAAGGTGAATTTCACTCTATGTAAATTATCCTTCAATAAAAAACAAAGAAAGAAAAAAACATCCCATGGGCTTTACAATAAAAATAAAGGCAAAACAGGGCAGGGCTTGGGAAACCTCTCTCTGGGGCTCCTGCCACAGCCAACCAGAAAGTTGCTAACCAGCCTCAGCTTGTCTGTTCTCAGCTTCCCTCACATGCTCTGAATCAGCTCGATCACGTACCCCCAAACCAGCCAAACCAGGTTCCAGTAAAATCAAGATCCTACCTTACCATGTGTGGGTAATACAAAAGGAGCTTGTGAGCTGAACACAACCAAACACACCAGAGTTTCGACATACAAATGACTGTTGGTTCCCCCAAATCCAAGACCCAGGATGCCCCACTTATCTTTTAGTGCTGCCAAATGCAAGTCCTTTCTGGAATTTCCCCTTTGGAAGCTGCTCTCAAGGGGATTGTTACAGTCGGCTCAGCAAACACCGAATGTTGTTACTTGTCACTGTTATGAATTAGCCAACTGTGTTGGCGATTCTGAGGACACAAGCACGATTTAGCTGTCCCTAACGACGGGCACAGCCAGAGCCACAGAACAGTGTCATGAATGGCTGAACAAAGTGGCCAGTCTTCATTCTGAGGGTGGATTTGATTTCTGCTGACAGCCTGGCTACTGGAAGCCAGATGAGGCCAACAAGATGTCCTCACTCCTGCAGTACTCGCCAAAAAACAAAGAAGAATTCTCCTCCAGAGGCTGGGACCTGACTTTCAATGAACTTGTGGGTGAGCAGGGAGTGGAAATTATTTGTATGCCCCAGTTGGCACACAGCATACACAAAATTGTTCACAAAATGACATAGTGCCTGTTGAGTAAGAGTGGGGCTCAGGAAAGCAGCCTCAAAAGGTGAATTCCAGAATGTTCCAAGTTTGTAGGAATGTGCGTGGAATCTCTCAAAAAATGTCATCTATTTGGCCATGATGCCACATACCTTACCTAGCTGGAACCCAAGGATACGGAACATGTACCTAGTGCCTACTCAAACCACTTCAGAGATGCTGGACCCAGAACTGGCCAACTTGCCTGGATGGTCCTCAGTGGTCTGGGGTGCAGGCTTCAGAACTGGCCAAGTAGCAAAAACGTGGCTAGATTTTAGGGGTTCAACTCTGTCCCCTCAGCACCTCACAATTAGGCACCTCAAATAATTCAACTTGGTAGGATTTTAACTTGTGGCCTCAGAGTGAGTACTCTCCCTGTGCCCCTCAATAGGGCAGGGAGTGAGGGCACGAAGGGTTTCAAGATACTATGAGCTCCGCAAATGCCAATAGAAAAAGATCGATACTTTAGGAAGTGTGGTTATAAAATACCTTTGTGTTTTCACCTGTTTTGTCCAGATAGGCCTGGTGAAAAGGATAGTAAAGTTTCTGAAGACCACAGCTTTGGCTGTTACCCAGAAGTCCCCAAAAGCTGTAGCTTCAGAAGTTTCTAGAACTGAACCTGGATGATTAAGGGCTGGGTACTGACTCATCCTCACCCCGCCCTACCGCCTTATGACTCAGAGATCTACCTTTGAGGACTTCTCACCATGTCCCTGATGACAGATCTCTGGGTTCCAGAGGGTGCAACAGTTGATGGCTCAGAGGCAGGTCCGTAACCTGGAGAAAGAAGAGAAGGTGAGGGAGTGTGTCCGCATGCTGCCCAATCCTTAGCCTGTCCTGAAATCTTGAGTGTGTGCATGAGTCCGTGTGTGTGTGTGTGTGTGTGTGTGTGTGTTGACATCCAACCTCCCCAGCCTGTTCATGACAAAAAATGACATGATCCCAGACCAGCATTGTCCAGTGGGGCTAGTGTGACAGACACAACTGCCAGCCACAAATGTGATCTGTGTCTGTGATTTTCAATGTTCAATAGGCACATTACAAAAGTACAAAAAAAAAGTACAAAGAAACAGGGGAACTTAATTTTAGTGATACGTTTTAATCCAATATATCCAAAATATAATTTTAACGTGGAAATCAACAAAAAGGTTATTAATGAGATTTTAAAAAACATTCTTTCCTACTGTCTTTGAAATTGGTGTGTGTTTTATATTTATACAGCACATCTCAAATTGGACCAGCCACATTTCAAGGGCTTACTAACCACATGGCCAGCGGTGACCATACTGGACAGCGGTTGGTGAAGACAAATGTGGGCCCCTGCCTATAAGGCGGAGCAAGGTGGGGCGGGGGGTTGCATTGAAAAGCACAGTGAAAACACCCCCATGTTGCAGGTTGGAGGGTCACAGGGTGCTATTCGCCACCCATTTCCCCTTTCCTTCTCTCCCATTCGCGACAGATAGGGATTCCCTCGCCTGAGAGGCCTCTCCATCCAGGCGCCCAGTCCACATCCCCAGCCCCTAGACCTCTCCGGTTGCTCTCCAGTACCCCAGGGGCCGCCCACCTCGGAATTCACCCAGATACGCGGCTCGCCAAGTGGATGCTGCCCTTCTTGTCACTCAACTTCTTGCTCCGCCCCCCGCCTTAATGTAACGGTCGCGTCCCTTGGTTTCCACAGCGACACCACCAGGGGCGAAGAAAGGGGCGCGCAGTGCCGAGGCCCCTTCTGATTGGTGGCTACCCCTCTCTTCCTCACCTCTAACGTGCTCGCGCTCCACCCTCTGGATGGGTCCCGCAGGCTGATTGGTCAGCCCCTTGGCGAGAGCGGCTAGTCCTGGCTCAGACCTGTCCCGAGGGGCGGTGGCAAAGGTGGGCGTCCTGAACGCTGATTGGCTGAAAGGACATGCGCGGCAGGGAGGGGCGGGGCGGACGCGGAGCCGCGATTAGTCTCGCGCTGCAGTCGGGAACGCGTTAGGGGTCTGTGCTGCGTCTCGTGCAGGTAAGGCAGCAGCGGCAGCAGGAGCAGCAGCCACAGTGTAAGGGAGCCATGAAGCACTACGAGGTAAGAAACATGGAAACGGGGACCGAGCGGCCGCCGCAGACCCATTCTTTTTCTTCGTGGGACCACGGGATCCCTCTTTCTTGTCCTGTGCCCGAAGGGAGAGCCGGACGGCGCAGGCGCAGTGGGCGCGGTGGTGCCCCAGGGCCACCCGTAAATTGCAATGCGCATGTGCGGGGGAGGTATTTATAATTTTGCAACCCAGGCTGTTTTGGGGGTGCCTTTTCTTGGGGTCTCTGCAGGGCCTGGGGAGATTTTAGGTTTCTTGTAGCTCCTCCAGCGAGCAGAGTTGCAGAGTTTGGCAGGTGCGGGACCCTTGCTCCCGATGCGAGGGTGTCTTGCATAAACCTTGCACCATGCCGCCGCCTCGGGCTTAAGAAGGGGCTTTGCAATCAGCCCTCTCTGGCACGACCTTTGGACCCCTTCCCTTGCCCGGGACGTCCCCGAGAAGCATAGGAGATAAGGGAGGTACTGCCAGGGCTGGCTCCCGCCAAGCAGCAAAGCTGATCTGGCTTTCTGGTAATCTAAGAGATCATCTCTGTCGATCGCTGTGTTACTGAGAAAGTCTCATGCCCACAGCCACTCTTGAAGCCCGTCTTCTGACTCCTAACCTGGGCCTCTTTTTCCCATAAAATGGAGTCTTTTGATGCACTTATCGACTTAAGTGATAATATTAATAATTTTGTTACTTATTGTTGCTGACTTTTAAGTAACTATCGCTAAATAAACTAATTTATTATTAAAATCTTAAGAATAATTTAGCAAGTGCTCACACTTGTGCTAATGAGATTCTGTTACCTTTTTCTCTTATCCTCATAGCCTGTGAGGTAGGGGACTATTACTGTTATTATCCCCATTTGTAGATGAAGAAACAGTCTCAGAGATGTTAATTGACTTTCCCAAAGGTTCTCAGCTAGTAAATGCAGTAGAGAGAGAAACTCAGGATTCCAGAGTCTTAGTTGCTAGCCAGTATGCCATGCTAGTCCCCAAATGAAAATTAGCAGGTTGAGAGATTTCTTGCCCACCCCATTTAAGAAAATTGTGGTAAAATACATATAACATAAAAGATGTCATCTTAACCATTTTCAAGTGTACTGCTCAGTGGCATTAAGTATATTCACATTGTTGGGCAACCATCACCACCATCCATCTCTGGAACTCTATTGTTTTGATCTTGCAAAACTGAAACTCTGTACCCATAAAACATTAACTTCCTATTTCCTAGCTCCTGGCAACCATCAATCTACTTTCTGCCTCTATGAATTTGACTGTTAGGTACTTCATATAAATGGAGGGAGGGATTCATTGTTTTTATTCACAAGTTGAATACCACTACCTCTGGCCATCCTCTTTATTATTATTTTTGGTAATTTACCCAGAATCTTTTGAAACCTTTAACCCATAAGTCTTCAATCATTTTAAAAAATAAGTTTCAGATGTACAAAGCTACGTACTGGTTAGACATTTACCCCCTTCACAAAGTGATAACCCCTCCCAATCTACTACCCCTCTGACATCATATATAATGGTTACAATACTATTTGCTATATTCCCTATGCTGTACTTTACATTCTGTGACCATATCTGTGACCATATATATATATATATATACATATAATATGACATTCAATATTATCCTACTTCAGCTTCAGGTGTATAGCGCAGCGGTCAGGCATCTAGACAGTCTATGAAGTGATCCCCCTTATAAGTCCAGTACCCATCTGGCACCCTACATAATCTTTTCAACATTATTATATTCCCCAGACTGTCTTTCATATCCCTGTGGCTATGTTGTGACTACCAATTTGTACTTTCTAATCTCTTCACCTTCTCCCCCATCCACACCCCCCTCCCATCTAGAAACCATTAGTTTTTTCCCTATATCTCTGAGTCTACTTCTGTTTTGTTTGTTTGTTTATTCTGTTCTTTAGATCCCACATATAAGTGAGATCATATGGTATTTGTCTTTCTCAGTTTGACTTATTTCTTTTTTTTTTTTTTTTTTTTAAGATTTTTATTGGGTAATTGGGGGGTGGGAACAGTGATGGGGAATTGGGGGAAGGGGAACAGACAAGTTGCTGTCGTTTTTTTTTGTTCTTCAATCTAGTTGTGGAGGACGCTGCTTCACTGGCCCAAGTTGGCACCATCATTGTGCTCTTCCCTGGCGAGGCAGATCAGTCGCCGGCTTCTGGACGGCCGCTCACTGCGGCTGCTGGCCTCTCACGCTGGCTGCTGGCTGCTGGCTACATATGGTAGCCCATGGCAACCCACTGCCACAGGGACTGCAGCCTACGCCGTCGCCAGCGACTCACGGCAGCCCAGCTCCAGGTTGAGCTGTTGTTCAGCATCTTAGCTGTGGAGGGCAGTGTCACTGGCCCTCATATGTGGGATCCGAACCGGGGCCCTCTGGAGTCCCAAGCCAGTTCTTAACCATCGCGCCACTCGGCCGGCCCTCAGTTTGACTTACTTCACTTAGCATAATGTTCTCTAGGTCCATCCATGTTGTTACAAATGGTAAGATTTCATTCTTCTTTATGGCTAATACTCCACTGTATTAATGTACCACAGTTTCTTTATCCAATCGTCTATTGATGGACATTTTGGTTGTTTCAGTCCTCAGTCATTTTTGACATGGTACCAAGAATGAGGAGTTAGGGATTGAGTAATCTCTCATGCCCCATTCAACTTTATGATTATAGAGTAAAGTTCTTCTATTGGGTTGTCGGAAAACTCATGATGCATTTTTGCAACGAAAAACATAGAAAGAAATACGTCATGACTTTTCTGACAACCCAATAATATAGTTTTCCCTTTCAAACTCTGAGTGTAACCACAGAGAAAAGGTCACATTCAGTTTGAAAGATGCAGGATTGGAAGAGCCATGTGGCATTTTGAAAGTGAGGTTAATTTTAATTTTTGCTAGTTAGCAGTCAGATAAAGTAGGCCTCTGAGGACCATTGGGGTGGGCACTTGTGTTCTAGGAAGCTGGGCACAGCCTGAGACCCATGGTTGGACTGGAGAACATGCTTTACCTTACACCTTTTCCCTCCCAGAAGGAAGGGGGAGCTTCAAACCCAATGTTCAAAGTGACCTTGGAGGAAAAAAAACAATTTATTTTGCTTTGTTCTCTGTTGTCATTGTCTGCTAACATTTGCCAAGTACCTGCTGAGGTGATGGCTACAGAGTTTCTGTGTGGGAGGACTTGTTGTCACCTAGCCCAGTTTACACAGCAAGCAGGTTAGCTTTACTCCAGGTGTTGCAGATCAATAAAAATAGCAAGGATGCTTTCACTCACATTTAACAAAGGTTGAGAAAAGGTTTCAGTTACTATCTACATCAGAGAATTTGTTTGTATTTGGGACTAAGTCCATCTTTTCACCCCCAAGTGACTCCCTGTCCACTGAGCGCTTAGCCTCCCTCAGAAGACCTTTGGGCTGGGGGAGGGGACGGGGACAGAGCTTTCTCCTAGATAAGGAAGTGCAATTAACAAGTAATTGAAATGCAATTGTTTACAAATGATAGAAGAAGTATTGCACAGAAAGGTGCAGGACTCACAGCAGTGCCACACAGCTAGTTAACCAGGACTGATAACTGATGTTATGGCAGTTAGGATTCCAGCTGGAGGGGGGATTTGTTAGTGTTTTGATGATAGTTTGCTGTTACTGCCTATCTCCCCTCTGTAATCTGAGGTGAAAAAAAGTATCCCTTAGTGGCCTAA